AAATATGGAAAACCCTCACAAAACTACATGACTGTCTCCCTGGATTCTGATAAAGCATTTGATAAAATCCAACACCATCTCTTGATGAAAACTCTAAAAATTATTGGAATAAAAGGGAAATTCCTCAAAATTATTCAGGATATATATAAAAAGCCAACATCCAACATTATAACTAATGGAGAAAGTTTGAGAGCTTTCCTTTTAAAATCAAGAATAAGACAAGGATGCCCACTCTCACCACATCTATTTAATATTGTATTTAGAAATCCTAACCAGAGAAATAGGATAAGAAAAGGAAATAAAAGATATCCAGATTGGAAAGAAGAAATAAAATTATTTGTACTTATGGATGATATGATCCTACGTATAGAAAACTTCAAAGAATTAAATGCAAACATTTTTAATAGAAGAACTTAGCAAAGTTCAGGGTACAAGATCAACCAACAAATCATTAGGGTTTCTGTACACTAGCAATGAGAAATCTGAAAGGGAAATTAGGGTGGAAATTTCATTTACAGTAGCATCTAAGATAATAACAACTAGAAGTAAATCTAACCAGGGATGAGAAAGACTAATGCAATGAAAACTATAAAACATTGCTGAAAGAGATTTTAGAAGACATAAATAAATGTAAAGGTAATTCATGTTCATGGATTGGAAGACTTAAATATTGTTAAGATATCAGCACTACTCAAAGCAATCTGTAGCCTCTAATCAAAATTCCAACAACCTTCCTTACAAAAATAGAAAAACCAATCCTCAACTTTATATGGAAAGGCAAGAGATGCCCAAAGGCTAAAACAATGCTTAAAGAGAAAAACAAAGTACAAGGGCTCATACTTGCTGCTTTAAAAACACATTGCACAGCTACAGGTGTCCCGGTGTGGCACTGCTGGACCACAAGATCTGTTTGAACCACAGGGTCAGGGGTTCAAGCTCAGCAGCCGCTCCTAAGAAACCCTATACAGGGTAGCTATGAGTTGAAAACTGACTCGCTGGCACTTTAACAACAACAACAAACACTGCTACAGTAATCTGAACAGCCTTGGAATGGTATGACAATAGACATACAGACTAATGGGAAAGAACTGAGAGTTCAGAAATACACTCACATATCTATGGTAAATGGATTTTTGAGAAGGCTGTTAAGTTTATTAGATGGGGACAGAGAGTATTTTCAGTAAATGATCCAGGAGAAATTGGATTTTCACATGCATAAAAATGAGATTTTATGCATGTGAGATTTTACCTCACAAATTCCCAAAAATAAAAAATGGATTAAGGACCTAAATGTGCACACTAAAACCATAAAATTCTTAGAAAAACAAGCAGGACAATGCTGTCATTTGTAGCTTTCCACAATGGATCATCTAATATAAAAACCAAAGTACAAACAGCAAAATCAATAATTGGGATCTCATAAAAGTGGTGCTGTGGATTAATGTGCTGGACTGCAAAGTTGTTTGAACCACAAGTTTGGTTGTTCAAGCTCACCAGCTTGAACCCTATATGGGGTAGCTATGGATCAGAATAGACTCGATGGCACTTAACAACAACAACAAAATTTAGAAACTTTCGTTTGTCAAAAGACTATCAAAAGTGTGAAAAGGCAAGGTATGGACTGGGAGAATATCTTTGGCCATCATATATCTAACAAGAATCTAATACCCAAAATACTTACAAAACTTTTACAACTTAATAACAAAAAGTCACAAAATGGGCAAAGGACTTGAATAGACATTTCACCAAAGAAGACATTCAAATGGCCACAAAACATATAAAAAGATGCCCAGCATCATTAGGACCAGAGAGATGGAAATCAAAAACACAATGAGTTACCAGTACATTCGCACATGGATGGCTAAGATAGATCAGAAAATAATAAATGTTGGTGAGGATGTGGGGAAATTGAAACCCTTATCCATTGCAGGTAGGAATGAAAAATGGTACAGCTGCTGTGGTAAATGGTGTGGTGGTTTCTCAAAAACTGAAAATAGAACTACTATGCTGTTGTTGTTAAATGCTGTTGAGTAGGCTCCAACTCATAGCGACCCTATATAGGGTTTCCAAGGAGCAGCTGGTGAGTTTGAACCACCAATCTTGTGGTTCAAACCAACCTAGTGGCCCAGTACTTTACCCTTCAGTACCACACCAGCTAATTCCACTACTAAGTATAGACCCAAAAGACTGGCAAACAAAGACTGAAAAAGAACACCAATGTTCACTATACACTATTCACAATAGCCAAAAGCTACAAACAACACTTGCAAGCAGCCCTTAAATGCTCATTAACAGGTGAGTGGATAAAGAAAATGTGGTCCATACATACAGTGAGACACTACCATTAGGAGAAATGAAGTCTTTATATATATTACACTATGGCTGGAGCTTGAAGATATCATGCTGAATAAAGTAAGTCAATCACAAAGGACAAATGTTGTATGACCACACTTATATAAAAAGAAGCTACAAATGTCTGAAGACCAAATGTTATTAGTGGTTACCAGGGGTAGGAAGAAGAGGAGGAGAGAAGGGTTAGTTGGGATGGAAAAGCTGCACAGCCGATTATTGTCATTGCTGTCAGTAAGCTGCACATCTGCAAAAAAGATGGATTGACAGAAGTTGTGTGATTGATACATTTACATTAACCCTCCCCCCCAAAAAAAAAAAAAAAAAAAAAGCTACTGAGGCAGTTTATGCACAAAAATACCTCATGAGATTTGGTTCCTTCATTTGGAGGTTTAGGAACATGGTTCGATGGGACATCCCAGTCAATTGACCTAATAACACAGTTAGTGCTTCTGTTCTACCTCCTAGTTCATTGCATAGTGCCTGGAGTCTTAAAAGCTTGCAAGCAGTTATTCAAGGCACAACAATTGGTTTCTATTCATCTGGAATAACAGAAGAAGAGGAGGAGTCAGGAAGAGGAGGAGGATATGAAATGCATGGATATTGCCGGCATGGACAACTGCCTCCTTTGCCATGAGACCAGACAGACTGGGTACCATTACTGAACATTTTGATAGAAGATTCCATTAAAATTCCACATCAAAGTGGGGAAAATGCAGAGCAGAATTTCAATTTCTTTGGAGTCATGAAGAGTGGATGAATCCCTGAACCTATTGCCCTGAGACAAGCATCAAACCTCAACTGAAGTTATCTCAAAACCAGACAATAGTTTAGCTTAACTAATGGAAAGGGTCTGCATTGAGCATCATACTGTTTTTTAAATGATCTATGTGGGATTAAATCACCAACAGCAACATGAAAGATCAGAACCTTAGGAAGCAGCGAGTTTGTATGAATGATGAGTAACTCAGAAAAGCAGACAAGAATGGGTGCATAACTTGAAGAACGTAATCAATGTCACTAATTGACACATGTAGAATCTATTGAATTGGTGTATGCACTACTGTAAATATTCTTAACAACAAAATAAAATTTAGAAAAAACAACAATACAAAACAAAAATATTTGAACAGTAATGTTTATAGCAGCTTTACTAAAGCAGCCATAACTAGAAGCAACAGAAATATCCACTAATGGTTAGTACCGCCGGCTAATGTGCTCGACTGCAAAGTTGTTTTGAATCATAAGGTTGGCGGTTCAAGCTCACCAGTTGTTCCACGGAAACCCTATACAGTCTTAATACAAGTTGGAACCAACTCGATGGCACTTAACAACAACAATAAGTGATTGGTGTTGTGTATCATTGAGTCACTTCTGACTTACAGTGACATTTAGGACAAAGTAGAACCGCTCCAAATGGTTTACAATGCCAAGTCAGTTCTGACTCATAGTGACACGGTATAGGGTTTCCAAGGAGCAACACGTGGGCTTGAGCCACCAACCTTGTGGTTAGTTGTTGTACGCTGCTGAGTTGGTTCTAACTCGTAGTGAGACCGCTCTACACTAGGCTCACCCTGAGACAGAGAACTATCTCAGGAGTTATAGGTTGTTCCTGTGGCATTTGTGACGTTACTCTTCTCTCTGTCTCAAACAGAGAAATCTTCAATTAATTCGACAGGTCTCATCAGTACTTCGCATCAGAAGTTTCTGCTTTTGTGGGAAGCCCAAAGGAAAAAATGAGGGGTCAGAAGCTTTCATGTCTGTGTTCCATGTACTCTGTGTATGTGATCTTTGATCCAGTAAGTCATTTGTTTCCCATGGATGTGTAATGTGCTACAATGGAAAAATATACAATCCATAGAGTTAATGCATGATCACATGACTTTTTAAAATAGTTAAGGAATTCATAGTTGATTTTGATTGTGAATTTTCTCAGTCATTTTTCATGGTTGGGTCTGAGGAAAAAACATTTTTAAACTTTAAACAATTCCTTGGTGTTATAGGATAAGCACTTGACTGTTAACTGCAAGGTTTTAGATTCAGAGTTGTTGTGAGTTGGAACCAACCGGATAGTACTTAACAACAGCACAACATATTTTAAAAAAGTAGACACCACTGAACTAAAGCATCACAATTATGTTTTCAAATTGACTACCAAGTGACTTCTTTTCATAAAAGGCAGAACACTGTATATAGCATACTCCCCCTATAGTGCAAAACACTGTTTTATGACTTACTTGCAAACTTTATTATGTAATTTGTGATGGAATTTTTTTTTTTTTTTTAAAGGGGAAAGATAAGTTGCACTTTGATTTGACTTGAGCAGATGATAGGGGGAATAACTATAGAAGAGTATCTATAAAGTGGAGTCCTGGTGTGGTGCTGTGGGTTAATGTGCTGAACTGCAAGGTTGGTTTGAACATCAAGATCAGAGGTTCAAGCCCACCAGCCACTTCTTGAAAACCCTATACAGGGTCGCTATGAGTCAGAACCTACTCTATGGCACTTAATAACAAAAACATTCTATAAAGTATATTTACTTTAATACTGGCACATTATTTGACATTTTAGTTGTATAAGGGTAAGTCTACAGAATGCTTAGTAAAAAGCTGATTCAGAAACATTTCTTCTGTTTCACGTTTTTTCCCAAGGCTCTGTTATGTGGTCTACTTGCTACCTGTCCAGAGGATCCGCTAAGATATTTAGAAGTAATGATCAAGTATATAATTGAAAATGGACTTGAAAGATTGCTTTGGTATGTACTGTTCTGATTTATGAGAGGGAAATACTTTATTTTGAGGATAAAACAGTCATTGTTTAGTATAAACATATGGTCTTGCCATTGAATGCCTCTAATCTCCAGATTGTTAAAGAAGTCCCCCACCTAAGCTTTTCTTTTTTTAATTTCAATGATCATTTAAAATAAAAATTTTTAAGGAAAAAGCGCTATCCCCTTGGTAGAATATTCTGAAACTATTTAAAACAATGTTACTAAAAATTTGTGATTACATGGGGACTTCCGGCAAGTGGTGGACTAGGCAGATTCAGAGACCAAATGAAACAGACACAGAAGAAAATTCTGGAACCATGAACTTCAGAGGAAAGTTTAGAGAAGTGGATATGACTATGGATAACAGAGAGGGAGACTGACACGTGAACAGTTGGCCAGATTCAGTGTGACCATCTTTCTGAGCAACTTTGGCAACAGAAGACTTGGCAGAGCAGATTCACACAGGTGGCGAGAAATGTGTGAGTCCTTTTTCTCCATGCTCTCCCCTGCTGACCAGAAGTGTGGCGATTTCTTACCCTCATATACACCCAGTGCAGACCCTGCTCTCCAGGAGTTTGGAGTCACATGGTTGGAAGTCATGCCAGTGTGAAGCAGGTGCCTGCTGCTTCACTTTGCTATGCTGATTTGGTGCCTGGATTCAGGAGACCTACAGAACCTGCAGAATCACCAGACCAGCATTTAACCAGTCACCCTGCTCCCAGATGCCTTATGGCTGTAACAGACACTAAATTTAGCTCCATCAAGGTCCTCCAGGGACTACTTCTGGATGAGTGTCCTGACCATAGATAACACTGAGGTCTATAGGAACTCTATCTAGGCCTGGGAACTCTGCTGTCACACCCTTCCCACGCCCACCTCATGAGCTCCTGGGCTTGCAGGAGCCCACAGAGTTTTCTCCTGTTGGGGTCTAACAGCTGCACTGTTTCTTTTGGGTTTGTTTTGGGGTTGTTTTTACTTTCTCATTGTTTTTGTTGATTTATTCTTTCTCCTCCTTCTTCTTTCCATTTTAGCCCTTGTATCTCTGCTTTTGTTTTACCTTATTTTCTTCTGTTTCTCATTTCCCCTCTTCTATGTGCACCCCTGCCTTTGATCTTTTTAAACTACTTTCTGCTTTCATTTTTCCATTCTGGTTTTTCTAAGTGTTTTTAAAATACTTTCCTTTTATTTTCTCTCTTATTTTTCTTTTTTATAACCCCCTTTTCCTGTCATTCTTTTGTCTTTATAGTTACTACATTCTTTTTTTCTAGTTGCTGCATTAAAAAAAAAATTTTTTTTTTAAGGTTTTTATTGTGCATTGAGGAGAGTAAAAGTTTACAGGGCAGATAGTCAGTTTTACATTCAACAAATCATATACCTAGTTTCATTACAATGATTATAACCCCCTCCATGTACCATCATTCACTTTAGCTCTTTTTTTTAAA